CATAGCAATAAGTTGTTTTATTGTCCTGGCTGCTGGTGCCAAGAGTGTTGACTGTGGAGCCCAGCAAACTAAAGCTGTGAACAATCTCAATCTCTTCACCATCCATCCTGATGCTGCCAATTGGTCCAGTGGTGAGAATCTTTGTCTTCTTAATATTGAGCCTCAATCCATATTGAAAGCTGTAGTCCTTGACCCTCTGCAGCAAGCACTTCAGGTCCTCCTCAGAATAATCAGAAATTTTATTTTCATCTCATTAGGAAACTCCCAGCAATAAACATGTTAATGAAGAAAATTATGAAAAAAATAAATTTAAAAAATTAAAAAAAGAAAATTATGGCAAGAAAACTAATTAGAAGGATAAAAATATGTGTACATGTAATCAGAAGGGAGGAAAAAACCTTTTCTGTGGAGAAACAAGTTTGTTTTTCAGTAATGTGATTGTATAATTCTCCCTAAATTTATATATATGGTTATTATCTGTTCTGGTGACAAGCTACTGTTGGCAAATCCAAACCAACTCATGATGATTCTCCATCTGAGTTCTGAGGCTGTAAATCTTTATGGGATGAGACTGACCATTTTTCTCCCTCAAAGCAATGGTGAGTTCAAACTGCTGACCTTTTGGTTAGTAGGCCATCACATAATGCACTAAGTCACAAGGGCATTTTATGCTATATTAATGCTTTAAACATTATCTCTTCTGACTGCCGTTGTATGTAGGATTACATTAATAGATAATGACAAGCAATATGACTTCTGGAATAAAGCTAAAAAGATTCCCGGTAACAAAACACAGTAAATCTAGTCAACACCACTAACTATATAAGACAAAAATCTACCAAAATGAAGAGTCAAATACTTTTTACTTAAATGGGAGAGAGATAGCTGGGAATACAAGATCCTGCAAAAAGTGAAAAACTAGAGAGATTTGGAAAAAATAAGATAGTCCCATTGAATTCTAGTTTGTAAGTTTTTACTGAAATAAATTTTTAAATTACTTGCCTAACATAAAATTTAGCTGATGTCTGCATATTCACAAACATATGCAAGTGGTCAGTATGAACCAGTTAAATTCTGCTGACTTTTCTTCTAAACAAAGTTAATGATATATTGTAAGTGTACAATAATAACTTATTTTCCTAAGTTTTTATGTTTCCCCAATGCAATTCCACTTACCCAAGGAATTTAAATAACTATAATATCAGAAGAATAGATTCAGAAGACAAGAGCCAAGAAAACCATTGATGCTATTTTCAAATAAATAGGCTAAGGTTTTCAGTTTTGTTTTTTCTTTTCATCAGATTCAAATATCATCCAGTTTATTTCACAAAGAATTAGAGAATTTATACTTATTTTAGAAATAAGGAAGTAATGACCAATAAAAGTAACTAGCCCTATCCACCGCTAGCATGAAAAACAACCAAAAATATTTGATGACAGAGAAAGGCGCCTGCATTCACTTATTCATTCACTTATACACACACACACACACACACATATATATATATATACACATATATCTATGTATATATATACACATATATCTATGTATATATACACACACATAAGTGTATATATATACACATACATATATACACACACATATAAAACCCACTGTCACCTTGCCATTGAGCTTTGGAGACTGAAAACTTTAATTGGAGGACACTACTCATCTTTCTTCCATAGAGTTTCTGATAGATTAAAACTGAAGAACTTTCAATTTGCATTCTGATAGACTATGCACTATACTATGAAAGCTCTTTTCACTAGACCAAATAATGGATAAATAATTAAGGATAAAGTGCACTTGATTCAAGTCATGGTCTTTTCAACCTCTTGCCATGTATCTGAGAGGTGGACAATGAATAAGGATTATAGAAAAAGAGTTGTGGTATTGAAGAAGAACTGAGGTACAGACAGAGACTTGTACACTAATGTTCATAGCAGTGTTATTCAACAGAGCAAGAACATGGAAATGGCCCAAATGCCCAAACACAATGGAATGGATTGAGAAACTGTGATACATTCATACAATGGAATACTATGCAGCACGCAGGAACAATGATTTTGTAAATTATTACCTAGGATGGTAGGGACTGGAGAACAATATTCTAAGTGAACAAACTCATTCTCATAAGGACAAATACTGTATAAGACCATTATTATAGATCCAAGGAGGCAAGAAGGGCTTAATCATAGGGTCACACAATTTGATGGTTGGACGGAGGGGTGGGTAATGGAAAGGGGAAAGATCAGTATGAAAAATAATGCATATGAATTTTGTGAACTGCGTATGTAAATCAGAAATAAATAAACAAACAAATAAATAAGAGGCTTCCAGCCCACAGCTGATTGTTAAAAAACAAAGACACTTACAGATTACATACATGCATGTATTTAATCTGGCTATAAATTATCTATCTCACAAGTCTGTTTGAAAATCAAATGTGGAATATGTCTCCTTGCTGGTACATCTTTGTTGAACTCCAAACATCTCCACAGATACCTCAAATTCAACAGGATCGAAAGTTGTCATCATCATAATTTCTAACTTTTTAAATTTTCTGCTAATTTATTTACAAAATTTGAATACATTGTTTTCAAGAACAAATTCTTTCAATTTCCCTCATCTTCCACCCATCGAATTGCACAACCTATAATTAATCCCCCATCATCCCTCTATGTCCAACTTCTCTCACCCCTATTGGATCTTTATACTCATTCTACAATAATGGTTTTATACAGTATTTATCCTTGTGGGACTTAGTTATTTCACTTAGCAGACTGTTCTTTAGTCCCTCCCAAGTTAGGTAAAAATTTACAAAATTATTGCTCTTGCATGCTGCATAGTATTTCATTGTGTGAATGTACCATAATTTCTCAATCCATTCGTTTGTAGTTGGACATTTGGACTGTTTCCATGTTTGTGCAATAATGAATTATGTTGCTATGAACATTGGTGTATAAATCTCTGTGCCTCAGTTCTCATTTTCTCAGGGTATATTTCAAGTAGAGGAATAGCTGGGTCATATGGACTTTTTATATTCAACTTTTCGAGGAAGTGCCAAAATGCCTTCCAGAATGGTTGTACCATTTTACAATCTCACCAACCATGTTCCTATCTCTTAAAGCTAGGGATTTTGAATATTTTTTTCCATGTGTTTGTTCACCATCTGAATGTCTTCTTTGGTCAAGTGTCTGTTCATATCCTTTACCTATTTTTCAATTGGGTTGTTTACCTTTATTTTGTGGTGGTGCTTGAGTACTTTATAAATTCTAGATATAAGTCCCGTGTCAGACATGTCATTACCAAATAGTTTTTCCCAGTCCGTGGCTTCCCTTTTTACCCTGTTGGAGAAGTTTTTAAATGTGCATAGGGATTTTATTCTTAGAAGGTCCCATTCAACTATTTTATCCTCTTCTAGTTGTAGGTTTTTCTGGATACTTGGAAGACTATATATGTCATGGATTAGGGCTTCTAGGAAGATGCAAATCAAAACAACTATGAGATATCATCTCACCCCAGTCAGAAGAGCAACATCTCACAGAACAGCAAACATCAAATGCTGGTGAGGTTGTAGAGAAACTGGAAGCCTTATTCACTGTTGGTGGATGTGTAAAATGATGCAAACACTCTGGAAGACAGTATGGTGCTTTCTAAAAAATTTGCAAATAGAAATACCATTTGACCCAGAAATTCAACTATTGGGAATATGCCCTAAAGAAACTGTAACTGCCACCCAAGTAGATATATGCATACTAATTTTTATTGCTGCTTTTCACAATAGCACAGAGTTGGAAACAACCCAAATGTCCATCAACAAAGGAATGGATAGAGAAGCTCTTTTATAGTCACACAATGGAATACTATGCTGAATTGAAAAACAAGGAATTCATGGATTATTATACAAAATGGGTGACCCTGGAGGAGGACATTATGCTGAATGAAATATCTCAGTAAGAAAAAAATATACTGCATAATGCCACTGTTCTAAAACAGGACTGACATAGGGCCTAGGGAGAAACTAAGGAAAGAAGGGATAAATAACCTACATGGCATTGAAACAAATGAGGGAGAAAACATATAAAAGGAACATGTAATTAGGTTATTGGCATAACAAGAGTCCAGAATAAGAGGTGCATAATAAAGTCCTCTGGGGTATAGGGTGACTGTATAACAATGAAAGAACTTTTTTCTCAATGAAAAAAGCAATCCAGGGGGCGGGATGGTCAGGGAGAAAAATGTGCAACAATGAGTGATTGGAAACCCAAGTTCTTTATAAATTTCACTAATATAAGAATTAAAAAACAATGAAAAAGTTCCTTTCTCACCACATCTTCATATTTATTACTTGCTGCCCTGTTAAACTTTGCCATTGTTACTGGAGTGAGATGGTACCTCATTGAGGTTTTGATTTGCATCTCTCTTATTTCTAACTTTTTTTTTTTCACAACACAAACATTTTTTATTTT